GCCGGCCGGATTGGGATTAGAACTTGCTTGTGATTCAAACCTAAATGTACCTGCTTCCAAATACCGTGTTCTTTTTACTATCTGCACTGAAGTCTTAATATTTAAAACTCTAGAAAAATGAACAGAGACTAATTCAAACTTACCTAAGCAGATAAGAATCCAATAAAACAACCATGCTTACTCTAGTTAAAAAAAAATCAGTCAATCTCATGTCAAAAAAAAAAAAAATGGCCAACTGCTGTCAGGTTTTAAACTAGCTTAAGCCAATTCCAAAATATTATACTACAGAGAAGTGAAACTAGCCTAGTTGTAGGTTACTGCAGTGTCATAACTGAAGGGCCTTGGCACCTGGGAATGCCTGAATTGGGTAAAAGGGTCACTAAGTTATTTATACCCTCAGGCCTCAGGGCAACACAGTGAGAAGTGGGAGGCCATGGCCCCAGGCAAGTCCCTGGGCTGGGAATGGCTGGTAGTTCACCCCAGTGAGCCGTTCAAATAGCACCCATTGCAGTGTGCACCAGGCCTTGAACAAAGTCGGGCCGCACTGGTGTAACGGATGCTGATACAGAAAATTAATCTTTAAGTAACTTTTGAGTAAGTATGAGAACTGATCTCTGCTCCTCATATCACAATCCCATTGTAGTGATTTACAACCCTCAAGCCAGTTGATTTTTAATGCATTTTATATTTGACTTAAAAGGAACTCTGGTATTATTAATTACACACAGAGCATCAGGGGCTGAGTTTTCAAAATAGTTTGCTGTAAAATAAACAGTAGAGATAAATCATAAGCCCCACTCTGCATTCAAGTAGAACAGCATTCTCTCATGGTCACTTTGAACTGTGTAGATAAGAAAATCAAGACAAAAAACAATTTGCATTCAATCTAGTCACAGTTCTCTCTGATAGAAGAACCACATGCCTTAGAGATTATGAATAGTCATTAAAGTATACTAAAAGATATCAACTTACTATATAATATGGAGTGCAGTTTTTAAATGAAGGAAAAAAGTGAACTTTATTTTTTTATTTAAATTCATTTAGCCAACTTATAGTACATCATTAGTTTCAGTTGTATTGTTTAATAATTTATCAGTTGCATATAACACCCATTGCTCATCACATCACGTGCCCTCCTTAATGCCCATCAGCCAAAAAGTGTACTTTATGACCTCTGAGTGTTATTGTTGTGATATTCAGATCTTATTTGAATATATTCAGTGTCATTTCATATTTGAATGATGTTCAGAAAAATCCATTGGAATTTTCATTCAGATGCTTAGTATATTTTAATTTTACATTCTTTACTTGTCTGCTCTATTTAGATTTGTTTTGAAAGTCTCTTTAAATATTTTTGCAAAAATCACAAAACACTACATTACGAAGTATTATTTATTGAATATAATTCACAAAGCAATCTATTTTTACTCGTCCTTGAAAAATACTTGTGTTTTTGATACATCTCCATTAAGTGCTTTTAACATGAGAGGATATTTTAATGTTTTTATAGAACTGATTGTAAAGGTAACAGGTATGGTATTTTAGGACACTTTGCAGGTAGCCGGTAGCCCTTGCCTTTTCACTGAGATGTAGACCTGGAAAACTCACTGGAAATGAGATCAAGAACAAACCGTCCATTTCACTTGTGATCTATTTTGCATAATGGTAAAGCTTCAGCTCCTCATTCTCACCACCAGACGGTAATTTTCAAAAACCGAAATGTTAACTTTGCCTCTTTCTTCTGGTTGTTCATCCCCTGCATTGAGCACTGATGGAAAAAGCAGCCGACTCAGGAAAGTAGATAAAGTAAAGACAGGCTCTCAGGAGAGGGGGGTAGATATGCTTGTTTAAATAACCGCAGTACTTCAGAGATAGGTTGCAGTGGCAAGGGAGACAAATGAAATAAAAGCAAAGTATTTCAGAAACCGTCCAATGGGCAGCTAGGGAAATGCAAACAACACAAGGTGGGGTCTGCCTATATATAATCTGCAAGATTTAAAAATATCCTTATTTGTATTCTTTTTGCATTATGAAAAAAATAAATTTTGTGTGATACTTCTGTTGATGAAATGTGGAAATTCTACCTAGCTTTGAATGAATTGTTTTCTTAAGAACGTTATGGTGCTAAACTTAACAAAAAAGAGACCGTTGAAATGCTGATAATTTTGGTAGTCTTTTAAAAAGTGTTGAGGACACGAGGCCATATAGCTCGGGGGTTAGAACACTGGTCTTGTAAAAAGTGTTGAGGGGGCAAAGACTACAAATTATGCCCTACAAAAACCTATAACTCTGTTTCGGATTGCTACCTTGAGTTTCAGTTAACTCAGTTTGTAATAACTATTAATGATCTCTGTTTACAATAAAGATTCTGTAAATTGTGTGCTGTTGAATTTTTAATGGTTAAAATTCTAGCAGATTTCTACATAATCATACAAACATGATGAATTTAACTATAGCTTGAGAATACCTAAATGCATTGGTGTTTATGTAATCTGTCTGGAATCCTGGAGCTCCTGGCTCGAAGCTGTACAGTTCCTGTTTGGATAGTCCTACCTTCTGTGCATTGCAGACTCTCTCTAGTGGCTCCTCCCTCCGTGTCCCAGGGGAATGTGCACACTGTCACTGTGGCAAGAGGCCAGAGCCTGGAAGATGAAAAGGTGAAGGTTTGCCAAGGGCAGGCAGGCTCCAAGGGTGGATGGGTGGAGCCTCAAAGGCTCAGGTCTAAATCCCCACCTGGCTAGATCCAGAAAGAGACCCATTTGAAAACTGCCTAAGGACCTAAGGTATGCCTTAGAAACTGTTACTGTTGTGGTGTTCTTCCTACATCTTATCAAACATACCTTCTTCTGCTTTCTGCCTATTGTTTTAACTTCTCTTTTATAGAAGAATGGCCCTTGGTTTCTGCTGTACTTTGTTTTTTCTCCAGCCTTCTCCCTATCTCTCTCACTCTGACACACACACCTCCGATATCTCTAACTGCTTCCTCATACTTAGGCTTGAATGTGTCCATTTAAAGACTGACATTTTACCTAATTGTTTCCAATTTCCTTAGAAAGTTTTCTGGAGTTCTTAGGGGTTCTTTACCTAGTACATAAAAGTTTGTAGTATACATAATTTTTCTTTACAAATCAATGTATTTCATTTTAAGACATAAAATTATCCTTATCTAGCTTTTTTGAACTCAAATTTATTAGTTAATGTATAAATCTCTTAACTTAAAAAGAACCAGGTCAATGAAAATCTTTAACTTATGCCCCCATAAGTATTTTTCAATCATACGTTTCTCTTCAATACTGCAAAGTAACGTGCCTGTGAATGATGACTATATTTTTTGGTTGTTCATATTGTTACATTAACTTGGTATATACGATTGTATTTACAATGATTGCAGCTTTGCATATAGAAATATATCTTTCTGGCTGTACAAATTAATTCAACTTCTGGTATTGTGTAAGAGGCACACTATAAAAATAAATCACTCCTCCATGCTGCAGGGCACCTCTACAGTTCATGGCCATGTGTACCTGGATTTAGGTGCCCTTCAAAATGTAGGAGAATTGACCTTGTATAAAACCAAAGTTTAAAAGTTACATGTTAAATTTCATTCACTCCATGCATTTATTCATCCAAACAGCATAGACAGACTGCAGACTATTGAAAATATAAAACATGAGGAGAAGGGGGAAGCATTATATATATATATATATAACATATATAATATATATTATATAATATATATAACATATAATATATATTATATAATATATAATATATATATATAGTTCTAGTCATCATTTAAAAAAAGAGTCTTGTGAATGAACTCTTTATAAATTTTCCATATATATATCTGGAAATATATGAAATATATATATTTGGAAAACATAGCCCTTCTGGGAGCTGACAGTCTTCTGGGGAGTTTACTATCCATTTTCTTTTAAAATTTTCTGTGTATACATTTAGCCATTGTAGATTCTTATTTTAAAATTTTCAACTTCTCAATCTTTGATGAAAAAGATAGTTGATGTTTATATATCTTATTACATCTTCATGGTGCTGATGCAGAACATCCTTTTTATAACCCATTTTGTTTACGTTGTATTTCAACTTAAAGTCACAAAAAAATGTAAATTTAATTTTAAAAAATCAAGAGTCTCCTTTTGTGAGTTGAACTTTCCCTTCATATCGTTCACAGTTTAGTGTAACTGGATGGCTGGTCACTCACATAATAAACCACATAGCTGATAACAGGTTGTAGATAAGCATAATAGACTTTGCTCAGTACTAAGGACCAGCAAGAAAACAGAGAAGTCTTTAACCTTGGTAGGTTTCCATCCAAAGCAGATTGCACAGTGAGTGTTCCTGGAATAACAGACACAGAGGTGAGGCCCAAGTGAGTATGTATTCTCTGAAAAATCAGGGGAGTTGTTTCTTTAAAATGTGACATAAATGTAATTGTATACTATAGCTTTACCATTTTTTTTTTAAAGACTTTATTTGAGAGAGAGAAAGCGAGCATGTGGGGGCGGGGGTGGAGCAGAGGAAGAGGGAGAAGCAGACTCCCGGCTAGGATGGGGACCTAAGCGTAAGGCAGACACTTAACCAATTGAGCCACCCAGGCGCCCCATAGCTTTACATTTTTTAGCTACATTTTAATGCCCCAAGTTCTAAGAAATCAAACATGCACTTAAATTGGCAATCAAGGCAAAATAATTTTCCTAAATCTTAAATTGAAAACTGTGGGGCGCCTGGGTGGCTCAGTAGGTTAAGCGTCTGTCTTCAGCTCAGGTCATGATCCCAGGGTTCTGGGATTGAGCCCCATTTCAGGTTCCCTGTTCGTGGGAAGCCTGCTTCTCCCTCTCCTCCCCCCACCACCATGCTCTCTCTTGCTATCTCTCTCTCTCAAATAAAATATTTTTTTAAAAATTGAATTTTCTGCTAATTTGCTGTTAATTTTCATATACGTTATTTTGAATAAGTCCATTTTCCTTTCTCTAGGCATTATGAAAAACCTACATTTCAGAGTCCTAACAATGCTAATAGGCCTTTATTTTACCGGAACAATGACAAACCCACCCAGAAAAAGCAGTCTTTTATTCAGTTCGGAGTGCCAATGGAATGGGTATCCTCTGACAAATTGTTCTTTTACTGGAAAGGATGATATCCATGTGGACAGACCCCAGTCAGCAGCCACAGTGGACACAAGGGCCAGTTTCCTTAGGGCTCTCTTACGGTCACACATGAGAAAAGACTGGAATACAAAACGTCTGGACCTCAGTAACAATCGCATTCCAAACATCACCTTAAGCCCTCTTGCACACTTCCATGCTTTGGAAGTACTAAACCTCAGCAACAGTTCCCTCAGCTCCATCGCATTGGATCTACACAGTGCTAAGTCCTCGTGGGGGAAACACCGCAGAAGCAGCTGGAGGCATGGGCTTCCGTTTCTAAAGTTGTTAATTCTTCAAAGAAACAAACTCGCCGACATTCCCAAGGGTAAGTACAATTTTAAAAGACGGACTAGACCAAGAAACAAGGAGATGTTTTATGCCCGTAAGAATTCCATGTTTTCAGTTTTGAGGAAACCACTGAAAGTAAAGCAATTTTATCAGGACAAATGAGTTTCTTAGTGAAATTTCAAGTTATAATATGTGGAATTCATAGCCAATGCAATTTAATCTTCCATTACTATAATCTACATTAATGTAATATAGATTTGTCGGAGACACAAGGAGGTATTTAAGTGCTAAATAATAATGCATGATTTCCAATTACCTACTTTGATTATCAGATATTTGCTACTATATATAGAAAGCACTAAGAAATAACTAGTTCATGTACTTTCAGTGTGTAGCACAATTCAAATTATATTGCCATATTTATAATACTTGTTTTCTTAGAATACATTTTGCATCTGCTTGTCTAGTTGTCCTCCAAATGTAGACTAGAAATATGCTAATGTATGATCAGTATGTAAACTTTCTTATCAAATCAAAATCAGAATTCTTTTTTTTCTTTTTTTTTAAAGATTTTATTTATTTATTTGACAGAGAGACACAGCGAGAGAGGGAACACAAGCAGGGGGAGTGGGAGAGGGAGAAGCAGGCTTCCCGCTGAGCAGGGAGCCCAATGCGGGGCTCGATCCCAGGACCCTGGGATCATGACCTGAGCCGAAGGCAGACGCTTAACGACTGAGCCACCCAGGTGCCCCAAAATCAGAATTCTTTATCCTGGTTTCTAATAGGATACTTCACATATTCCTGTTGTTTAATTTTCATCTCTTCCCGCATTCAGTAATCTACATGTTGGAGCTCCTTAACTAATCACCAATACTTTATTAAGAAAATAGATTCATAATCCACAGCTCCCTTCACCTTTTTTAGTATTCAGGAGTGCTAGACAATTTCCTTTCCTTGTTTGTTTTTAATCTTGGCCGCTATTTGCTAAGTACTTACTTTATATAAGACATTCTGCTAAAAAACAAAATGTAAGGATATTGTCTTTTTTTCTCCATCCTAAGTTATACATATTTAGTTTTTCTTATTTTCCATTCTTTCCTTTCATATTTTTATTGTTTTGCTTTTTCTCCAGCTTTTGGTCTTGTGTTAAGCATCATTTTGAGAGCCTGCCAGGTGAAGGAATGACTATCCCAGTCATGAAATCAACAGAATTGTGTGAGAAGGGAAGGAGTCTTCTCTCCCTAAGCTTTTCCATAAAAGCAATGTGCAGGATTTTCAGTGTAAAGTATAAACTAATTGCATCATGTTTTGTAATTTTTACTGTATTATTCTTATTTTTAAAAACCTGTTATTTGTAGAACATTAGTAATTAAAGAAAAATCTAAAGGAAAAAACATAAGTCCTTCGTGTAATACAGTTGACCATGGTGCAGGTCTACTTATATATGGATTTCTTTTTATAAATATCATAGAGCACTGTAAATATATTTTCTCTTCCTTACGATTTTCTTTTTTTTTAAAGATTTTATTTATTTATTTGAGAGAGAGAGAATGAGAGAGAGAGAGCACATGAGAGGGGGGAGGGTCAGAGGGAGAAGCAGACTCCCCGTTGAGCAGGGAGCCCGATGTGGGACTCGATCCCGGGACTCCAGGATTATGACCTGAGCCGAAGGCGGTTGCTTAACCAACTGAGCCACCCAGGCGCCCTTCCTTACGATTTTCTTAATAACATCTTCTTTTCTCTAGTTTACTTTGTTGTAGCAATACAGTATATAATACATATAACATACAACATATTTGTTAATTGACTTTCTGTTACAGGTAAGGCTTCCAGTCAGCAGTAGGCTTTTAGTAGTTAAGTTTTGGGGGAGCTAAAGTTATACATAAATTTTTTACTCTGTGGGTGATCAGCACCCCTCAACCCTGTGTTGTTCAAGGATCAACTATATATATTCTTTAAGTCTATTCCTCATGCCTGTGTACATATTTTTCTTTCAAATTGGATACTTTCCATAATATTTCCTAATTTGTATTTTCATATCACAGTGTATTTTGAACATCTTTATATAATTAAGCAATCTCATAAATAATATTTTAAATAGTTGAATAGCTTTTATATATACATATGTTATAACCAGGTTAATCAAACAACATTTAGACTATTGCCATTTTGTTTGCTATAACTCTGTGATGATCATCATCATAGCTACACATATCCATATGATATAACATATTTCTTAACTAGTATGGTAGATGTGAATTTCAACCCCTAAATTCAGGTGTACTAGAGATATAACCTTCTGTTGTCTATAATTCAACATAATTTCTGATTCTGAGCCCCCATTCTAGTAGGGTCAGCTGGGGATGGGGTGTAGAGATACTTGTACTTAACATTAGTCTTCCATGAGCTTTCCTCTGCTTTTCCCCAAATTTTATACCCTAACAAGTGTGTGTGTGTGTGTGTGTGTGTGTGTGTGTGTGTGTGTGTGTCCCTTACCCCTGCCAGCCGGAGAACATTTCTTTTCAGTTTTTTCAGTTTGGAGAAAATTCTTCCCATTTTTTTGTTTCTTCAAAACCCTCTGTCTAGATCTAGAAATTCCTTTCCTCTAAAGTTTTAGGCCTTTGGAAAACAAAAGCCAGAAAGACTTGTAGACTCCTCTGTTTTCTGCCTTGCACTGTGCCTCCCCTGGGGTAATTAACACAGAGCCTACTTTCTGGTTGAATGGGGAGAAATGGAAAGAGAGACATAGAGATAAAAGATTAATATATCAAAATATTATCCCGCCACTTAACATATCTCCTTAAGGCAGATGAATTAATTCCCCAGAGCTAATTGGAGGTCAGAGGGAATACAATTCCATTTAAGGACCAAACACCCCTATAAAATGCACATACAACCCCATCTTTCTTTTCGGAGTTGAACTTCTGCCTCCCGAAAACATCAGGAAAAATGTTACACTTACAAAGGAGAATAAAAAGTGAAATGAGCGAATCATGTATCTGAAATTCTATTAGAACTCTAGCAGATGAAACCATAGAGAGATGAATGAAACCAATTGATGATGGAAGGCCAATGGAAGCCCTGAACCTAATTGGATATAATTCAGAGTTCTTTTATCCATAGAATTTTGTGATTTGAATTTTTTTCCTCTAATCATCACATATTTCAGTTGAGCCCCCTGTAACGTCCCTTTGCCATTCTATGATTCTGGGACTGTGGCTCAGTCACTCTGACTTTGAAATCCCATTTTGGAGGGAAAAAGCTGGTAAAGGGGAGGTGCTGCCTGGAGTACCATTCTATTTCTGACCTTCCCTTTGTTCTTTGATTCCTTTGTTCTAAGCCTGTTTAAAGGTAGCATCTGGGGGCGCCTGCCTGGCTCAGTGGGTAGAGCTTGCCGCTCTTGATCTTGGGGTTGTGAGTTTGAGCTCCACATTGGGGGTAGAGTTTACTTAAAAACATTTTTTTAAAAAGGTAACATCTTGGTAATGTAATATTTACTCATAGAATTATGAGGATTAAAGGAAAAATGTATTTCAAGAACCTACTGTAACATGGCATTTGGCATAATAAATGGTAGCTATTAAAATATGTGAAAAGTACTTTGTATACTTGTAAAGTACTTTGCAAATATTAGTTATTTTTACTCTCTTGGCACAAATTCAGGATAGCATTCTATTTAGAAACAAATTATAAATTCGGTTTTGTCTAAATCTCAAGTTATCTTTTAAAATGTTAAATAACTATTGCAGTAGATGGAACTCCTAGCCCACTATAATTCATGAGCAGAGAATCATTTGTGTCTACCTATTTATATAAGTGCTTGCACTCATTTAAAATAATAATAAATCAGAGATTCTCACAAAGTAGCAATCAAGCAACTGGCCTTGTAACACATGTGTACTTTTATAAATCATGTCTCACATCTTCAAATGGTGACAGCTTATAGAAGCAACTAAAAGTTGCTTTCACTCAGGAAAGCCCATCTTTGTAAGAGTGAAAGCTCACACTAACTAATCCAGAGTCAACTGATCCCATACCTTCAGAGTCAGCTCTGATGTCACCAGTAAGCTTCATGTTGGGAAAAACACCCAGAGGAGGTGTCAGCCAATGCAATTTACAAAACAGTTAGCTAGCTATGAATTTAAGCTTCCTGATGAGTCCACCTTTCTCCCAGATCTCTGGAGTACAGTGTTAATAACAGAAAAATCAGTTTTAAAACATTTAAAACAATGGGATAAATCTCCAGTTAAACCCAAGAGATAAATGTGTTACAAATGAGATGAAATAATACCCGACTTTTGAAACTGGTGGAGGAAAAAAAAAAAAAGACAAAAAAAACAGTGTATGGTAAAAACAAAAATATGTTATATTCTTACTTATTTTTAGGGAATTAAATATTTCCTCCTGATTGCTGTTGGATTATGGAAATACCAATAACCTATGTTCTCAAAACCAGGTCAGGTTCTAAAATAGCAACATGAATGTATGTCAGTAAGCTAAGAGGGCAAAGTCTTTGGCTCACCTATATAAAACTGACCACGTTGAGGGCTGACCTTATGAATAAAATATCTAGGACCATTCCAGACTCTTCCAATTCTTAATACTCTTTGAACTTGAAACCATAACCCCCTGAATATCATTTTTTTGTGTTATCAGATTATCGCTTTCGGAGAGTATTTAGGAAGTTCATAGTCCAAAGGAACATTCATAGGCAATTTAGTGTCTGGGCGTACCCTTTATGGCCTTTCTTCTAATAGACACTGAGACAATTTCTTGGAAATAATAAAATGCCTCTGGCTACCTAAATGCAAAAGCTGATCAGATTCCTGCTTCCCGTGGCTTATGTGATCATCAGAAAGCAGTTCAATAAATAATTCCTTCTCCACAAAAGTGCCTCCGTATTTTCCTCCCAGTGTTCAACTCCCCTCTGTTGAAACATGGAACCTACCCTCTGATGTCCATGCCTCGGCCATGAATGCCCCTCCCAACTTCTTTTGTTCACCAGAGTACCCCCCTAAACATTGATTCACCATGCAA